TCATGTAGACCAGCGGTTCTCAACCTTCTGGCCCTTTAAAAACAGTTCCACCTATTGTGACCCAACCATAAAATTATTTTCGTTGCTACTTCATAACTGTAATGTTGCTACTGTTATGAATCATAACGTAAATATCTGATTTGCAGGATGGTCTTAGGCAACCCCTGTGAATCGTTCGACCACCAAAGGGGTTGCGACCACAGGTTGAGAACCGCTGATGTAGACCAAAATAGGTAAACCCCAAACAAATCAAAGCTACCTAGCATCCAGCACACTGGTATTTGCTTACACACCAAGCTGGTTGACTAGACTCTAACAACGCTTCTAGTGAACGCTCAGCTTTTGGGCTATATAACCACCCATGACAGTTTGTCATTATAGCTCAAGTTTGCTACAAGATGAAGGCCAGTTGATCAAGAGCCAGGGCATAGGAAGTCTGGATCCAGGGTCGTGCTTATCTTTCAATGAAAAGTCATCAATCAGTCATAGAGAAGAGCAAAGGCACGATATGGGGCTATTTAAGTAATGGGGCATTCAGTACTTGGTGATTAAGATTATAAATCTGGCCCTAACCGGTTTGGCTCAGTGGATAGAGCATCGGCCTGTGGACTGAAGGGTCCCAGGTTTGATTCCAGTCAAGGGCATGTACCTTGGTTGCAGGCACATCCCCAGTAGGGGGTGTGCAGGAGGCAGCTGATCAATGTTTCTCTCTCATTGATGTCTCTAACTCTGTATTCCTCTCCCTTCCTCTCTGTAAAAAAAAAAATCAATAAAATATCTTTTTTTTAAAAGATTATAAATCTGGTTAAAAACCAAGAGATTAAAACTGAGTCTAGTCAGTTGGCATAAAAAGAATGAGCTCTTAACTGCATTAAACAATATCCCAAATTGATAAGATTCCTAGAAATGAGAAGACCTCTGAAACAGAACCTCTAAGAATACAGTGTAGCTTATCAGTCCCCTAATTGTATGCTAGTTCACTTCCTTCCTTCCTTCCTTCCTTCATTTATTCATTCATTCATGCATGCGCTGGTGCTCAGCACCAAGTCTCCCCTCCATGGAGCTGAATCATATTGGCTGTAATTGCACTTACATTTGTGGGATGTAATGAGGCATGACTGCCTTCCCTATATGTGTGAGCAGTGTCAAAATATCCAACCTGAGATCTGCCAGTGGGTAGCAGAAAGTCTGGACAAAACATTCATTGTTTGTATTGTAGACAAGGCCCCATTGGCAGGGCGGTTCATTAGACAGGAGAAGGCAAGGCTGCCCAGGGCCCTCTGTGTAAACCCCACTTATACTCCTTAATTGCCTGCTTTGACCCAGATCCTTCTCTTAAGGGCCTATACCCTCCCCCTCCCCAATCTGTTTCGCTGTCCATGCCTTCTTTATCCCAGGGACCCTTTTAGCAGAGACCTTGATACCAAGTTGCCCTTCTTCCTCTAAAACATTAATAACCACAGACACTGTTTGTCCCAGTCTTGGACGTTTACAAATCTGTTTCACAACATGTCTCATTCAATCTGTTCAATAATCCTCTGAGGGGGCCCTCACCAGAAATGTTTGTTGACTTGCCCAAAGTCATGCAGTTGGCAAATGACAGAACTGGGGCACGAACCAGGTTTCCTAACTCCAAACCTCATGATCTTCCCACTGTCCTAGGCCATCTCTGCAGGAAAGCAGTGTGCATCTGCTTCAGCCTTTTACAAATGGGACTCTGGCCCTTGGCCTGTTAGGTCTGAGCTGGCTCACTTGGTGAGGACCCAGGGCTAATGAGGCCAGGAGTCCAGGCTTGGCTCCAGAGCATGTCATTTGTCCTCTAGCCACTCCCTGGCCCTGTCCTACCCTTAGTCATAAGGTGTCCACAGCCCAGGAAATTGATTCCAGTGCTAGAAATATCACCAGAAGCAACTGTGCTGCCGACAGACAGTAGCATTGTCCTTCTAGGGCAGTGATGGCGAACCTTTTGAGCTCGGCATGTCAGCATTTTGAAAAACCCTAACTTAACTCTGGTGCTGTGTCACATATAGAAATTTTTTGATAGTTGCAACCATAGTAAAACAAAGATTTATATTTTTGATATTTATTTTATATATTTAAATGCCATTTAACAAAGAAAAATCAACCAAAAAATGAGTTCACGTATCACCTCTGATATGTGTGTCATAGGTTTGCCATCACTGTTCTAGAAGGATGGTGGTTGTAGAACTCTGACCACAGCCACTGACCACACCCAACACTGCCTGTTTTTACTTACTTATTTATTTTTATTGGGGGGGAGGGGGAGAGAGAGAGAGAGAGAGAGAGAGAGAGAGAGAGAGAGAGAAAGAAACATCAATCAGTTGCCTCCTGCATTCCCCTGATTGGGGATTGAGCCTACAACCTAGGTATGTGCCCTGACTGGTATCAAACCACCACCTTTTGATGCACAGGATGACGCTCCAACCAACTGAGCCACACCAACCATGGCACCCAATACTGCCTTTAGACTGAATAACTGGGCCACCTGCCTTGGGCTGCATGCTGTAGAGGGCTTCCCTCTTTCTTTTCTCAGGCCACACCCCTTCACATAGGGTGAGAATTCTGCAAGGCCAAAGGGATGGGCCTGTCCAGAGCCCATACCCCTTTTTAGACCATACTCTATCTACCCAGGACCAAATTCCCTGCCTAAATGCATTCCGGGGCCTGCGCAGGCCTCGGCACCTGGTCTGTCATTCTGAGAGTACCCTGAGCTGCTGTTCTGAGTATTGCTAGGGCTGAAGAGTAGGGCAGGTATCTGGGAAGCATACACACAGGGACCCAGGGAGAGATGGAGCCACAACCTGGAAAAAAGAAGGTCAGGTGGTGAACCAGGAGCTCCATCAGTGCGCATCCTCTGGGTCCCATAAACACGAGGATGAGTCTGACAGCGGGTAGGGAAGCTGGGTGTCTAGGCTGCTTTCTCCCAAAATTGAGGGCCTAGTGACAAACGGAAAATAAACAGGCCCAGGTTGCTAGGAAAGCTGAGCCTATTGAGCAAAAATGGGCCATTCCTAGGCCAGAGGTAAGGTGCCAAGAGAGCAAGGCCTTCTCATGAGGCTGACCATGAGTGCAGGAGTCACAGTGACCCGGTACAAACCCCCACCCCCCTGAGGGCCTGGGATCTTATTACCAACTAGAGGAGTGGGGTGTCAGAACTCCCAGGAATGCCTTTTCAAATCATTACATGTTATTCCGGGGAACATAAGAGAAGACAGAGGTCCCTCATTGACATGAGCTGTGACTCTACAGGCTGCAATCCCATGTCTCCTCTCCTCCCAGCAAAACTGCCCAGAGTGTGATCAGCAGGAAGGCAACTGCTAGGCTAGGTAAATAAAAAATAAATTGACAGAGAGGATTGGCTGAGAGCCTCTGGGGATTAACTAACTAATTAATCCCCACAACAGTTTGACGAGGAACTAATTAATCCATTAAGCACTTTGAGGGGCCGAGGCCTGGCTAAGTGCAGGAGAGGCTTCTCTGACTTCGGGAGGTGACGCTGGGAGTGGGCCTTCTCAGAGGCCTTCAGGAGGACCTGTGTGAGGACCATGCCTCTGGGGTACTGTCTTCAGAAGGCTGCCTGTCCAGCTGTTTCTAGAGTCAGGCTCGCTGTTAGTCTGCCCAGAGAAAACAAATACAGGAAACCGCTCTATGGAAAGGCTGCGGCCTCCAGCTTCTCGAAGGATCTTCTGAAGAAATATGGAGCCTTGGACAGTTAGAATGGGGAGATGGAGATGGAGACTCAAGTTTACACATGGCCCTGGCTCACCATTTGGACCAGGAGACAACCAATATTTGTTTATGGTTATCACTACTAAATACCCAGGCAAGGGGGTGGGATGCTCTCTGTACATGCTGATTGAACTCTACCTTGGACTCAGCAGGTGTCAAAACCTTTCTAAAACCAAATCTATGTGGTCTGATTAAGACTAAGATGATAATTTTATATTTATGTGATTTGTCATGTGCTTTGGTGACAAATTCAAGACTGGTCACAACGTATCGAGGTGGGTCCTCAATTCTACTTAGATATTTTCTATCATTTGCTTTTCTGACGTTCTCTTAAATCTTATCTGCCCCTGAGGCCCAGTTTAGCACCTGTTACAACCTGATCTCAGAAAATTATCTCATAGCAGCCATCTGGGGATGTCAACAGCCCTTACCTTTCCCAGAGAAATTTTTTCTCTAGATTCTTCTTTCTCATTACAAAACAAAGATATTAGTTGACATACTCTTAGAAATCTGGGGACAGCCATGCCGAGAACCACAAGAGGAAATTGTAAGGCGAACTGTGACTAGTCATGAATGCTGAGTGGAAGCCAGACGTGCTTCCAGGTGCCAAGGATGGAAGGCTGGAGTGGACAAGATTCTGCACCCATGAGGGGCCCCCATCTAGTAGAAGGGACAGAAGAGGCAATAGTTAAGTAGAAGTTGCCAGTCAAGAGTGATGACTAAAATGGGGGAGCACTGTCAGCCACTGTGAACCCAAACCCCACCCTCCAGAATCAGATCAGCCAGGGCCACTGTGTCACAGCCCGGGGCTGCTAGCTGCCAAAGCCCAAAGCCTGAAGCCCGAAGCCCGGTTAGCGCCTGATTCTCAAGCTTTGCATCATCAGCACAACAGAGAGGATTTCTTAAAACACAGATTGCTGGGCCCCACTGGGGGTATCTGATCCACTAGGTCTGGGGTAGAGCCCGAAACTTTGTCTTTCTAATATGTTCTTACATGATGGTGAGGCTGCTGGGTCCTGGGAACCACTGTGCTAGAGGTTCTGATCCACCCAAGTGCACTGAAAGAGAGGTGACTCAATCATGACCTCTAGCCTCCATGACAGCTCCCAGGCCAAGGCTCTGCTGAGAGACAGCCAGGCATGCCATCCTCTTCATTCCTCAACAGACCTTTGTTTTCCTGCTGCTTTTAATGTTTGTTTGTTTGCTTGTTTTAGAGTGGTCTCTCTTTCTACATTTGTTTTTCCACATAGAGTGAAATGGATGAGAACCAAATCCAGATGGCTGGAGATGATGTGGATTTGCCTGAAGATCTCCGAAAAATGGTAGATGAAGATCACGAGGAGGAAGAAGATAAGGATTCTATTCTGGGGCAGTTACAGAATCTTCAGAACATGGACTTGGACACCATAAAAGAAAAAGCCCAGGCCACGATCACAGAAATCAAGCAGACAGCAGAGCAGAAGTGTTCTGTGATGTGAGGGGCGGGTGGGGCTGTAGAAGGGGACCAGGTCAAGGTGGAGGTGACCACTCTCCTACGGAAAGTCTTGAGCAGCACATATTCAATACAGTGACCAGGGTTAGAAAAACCATGATGGCAAAACTCTCTACAAACATGTAGACAACAACTTAATGTTCTAATTGTTCCTGGTAGAATGTTTAGCTAGGACCTGGCAGCAGAAAATGATACGTTCCTTTTAGCTATAAATGTGGCTAACATGAAATTTCAGCTGTGAATGACATAGAACACATACCTGCTTAAAGATCTTCAGGACAGCCAGAAAGAAATAAAAGCAAATGGAATTTTCTCTTTGATTTCCTTCCTTAGAGGTCAAAGTCTCACCTAGTCCAATCATTAGCATGACTCCAGAGCCCTTCAGAGAAAGATGTGGAAGGTCAGGGTGCTACCAGGAGCCCAGGCTGCAGATTCATTGGCAGGCAAAGACCACACCACCCCCACTCCCAGGCTCCTTGACATTGTTGATGCTTTTCATCAAGTGTGGCACTTGGACAGTTGGAAGCCAAGGGGCAGTAGTGGGGATGTGGTAAAAGATGAGGTACGAAGGCAGAGAACAGACTTCATCAGCCCTTAGCCTTGTAGAGCATCATAGGAACCTCATGAGTGGACCATACAATATTCATCCTTTCCTGACTGGCTTATTTCACTTAGCACAATGTCCTCAAGGTTCATATCTGCTGTAGCATTGTATCATAAGTTCTTTCCTTTTTAAGGCTGAATAATATTTCATTGGATATATATATGCCACATTTGGCTTATCCATTCATCCCATCCATGGACACTTGGGTTGCTTTCATCTTTTGATGATTGTGAATAAAACTACTATGAACATGAGTATACAAATATCTATTCTAGTTCCTGCTTTCAATTTTTTTAGTGACATTTTGTGGAATGCCACAAGAAGTGGAATTGCTGTCTACATTAGAAATAGCAGTTTGGATACAAATAATATTAAATGTAAAACTGTAATTAAAAAATAGAAATTTAAATAAATATAAAATTAGAAATATTCAAACTTCTAAAGTAACACTAAGTTAAAAGATATCACAATGGTAATTCAAAAATGTTCTTACTTCAGTAGTGAGGGGAATACCAGGAGCTTCTCTGAGTTGTTGGCAGAGTTTTATTTATTCACTTGTGTATAGGTCTAGCTACATAATTTGTGGGGCCTAGTGAAAATGAAAAGGCCATGGCTGGCTCTGAAGTCAGTGTAACCTCCTTTCAAAGGGATGTTGAGTGGGAGCCAGATGTGCTTCTAGATGCCAAGGAAAAAGTTGTTGAAGAGCAATTATGAATTTTAATATTTAAAGTACAGCATTAAACTAAGGATAGGATCCTTCTAAAGGTGTTTCAACACCCATGAAGCTGACCTTGCCTCTCTATTCACTTTGTAATGATTCACTGAGGTGTAATTTATGTTTTAATCACTTTTTTCTATATGTGCTATCCTTCACAACAAATAAATTATATATTACATATATATATACTAGAGGCCCGTTATTGCGCAAAACTCATGCATGGGGGGGGGAGGGTTGTCCCTCAGCCTGGCCTGCACCCTCTTCAATCCAGGACTCCTCAGGGGATGTCTGACTGCCGGTCCAACCAGTAGTCAGACATCCTTCTCCCAATCAGGGGACACTGGCTCCTAACCACTCACCTGCCTGCCAGCCTGATTGCCCCTAACTGCCCTCCCCTGCCTGCCTGATCTCCCCTAACTGCCCTCCCCTGCTGGCCTGATTGCCCCTAACCACCTCCGCCTCGGCCCCCACCACTGTGGCTTTGTCCGGAAGGAGGACCAGACAACTGGAAGATGTCTGGTCGACCAGGTCTAATTAGCATATTACCCTTTTATTAGTATAGATATGCATATATAATCCTCACTTGAGGGTATTTTTTTATTGATTTTAGAGAGAGGAGAGGGAGAGAGAGAGAGAGAAACATCCATGTGAGAGAGAAACATGGATCAGTTGCCTCCCATACAACCCCTGACCAGGGATCAAACTTGCAACCTGGGTATGTACCCTCATCAGGAATCAAACCCGAGGCTCTTCACTGCATGGGATAACACTCCAACCAACTGAATCACACTAGCCAAGACATAAATTATATATATA